TGACATAATTTTAAAACAGTCAATTTCAAATTTTGCATTATATATATAATTACTATGTTCATACACTGAAAAAAGTGCATGTAATTTTACATGAAAATTACATGTTCATGACTGGAAAATTGCCTAAATATGATTGGAAATTTACAATTTCCAGTAAATTTCCAAGCATATTTATATAATTTATATAATTTTCCAGTCATATACATGTAATTTCCATGTAAAATTACATGCATTTTTTTCAGTGTATGTATAAAATGTGTTTCCTATAAAATTTAAAAAAGTATTGAAATAAATCGTAAATAATTTTATGTATATAAGAGAGAGATAGAGAGAGAGAAAGAGAGAGATAGAGAGAGAGAAAGAGAGAGAGAGAGAGAGAGAGAAGAGGCATTAAGTATTAGAAATATGAAATCTGTAGGATTGTTTTCAGACATTGAAAGAACTAAAGCATAGAAATTATTTTTCTGACATCCAATCATCCTTCTCTTATTCTTTAAATCAATTAAAGAATTTGGATCGATATCAAAGCATTTATAAAATCAAGATTTTGTAAAGAATAATCTCAAATTTATAAAATAATCTAAAATAAAATCAACATTCTGTAATTTACCTTACAATTAAAAAACCAGCTTATAGCATCAAAATAGATGCTTGTTATAACGCTCTTATCATAACGCGGAACACGAGCTGCTACTTCGATATTTGGTTTATCAACGTGTCATCGCGGACTTACTTAATTATGAAACTTAACTAGAACGATGTAAACTGATCGGCCCTGCAAGGCTCCGAGCCGCGCCACTTTGGGCTCGCATGGCATCTGTTGCGCGCGCTCCAACGAGCCTTATCTAAATTGTTTTGGCGCCCTCCGGGTCCCATTATGACTGCAAGATTGAAATAATCAGATCGGACGAGTTTGTGCCCAATTATACGCGTGCCATAGCGAGCCGTGGGCCTTGGGGTCTCACGAGGGTTAGAAGTGGACGTGGGCAGGCCAAGGTCTAATTCAGAGGCCTCACGGCTTCCACCTGGCCAACGTGTTCTCATTATTTCTGAATCAGGCCTATACGCTCGGCGCATATTTGTGTACTCCATAAAATAAAGAAACATTATCCGGATAAGGCTGTGCTCAGAACTTGCATGTACAGGGTGTCCCGTAGAATCCGATAAAATACGATAGGATTCATATTCGATCAATCGTAATGCTCGCGAGATCAATGATAGAAAATGATATAAAGTTATAGAAAACGATACAAATTTATAAAAATCCTATCGTTCTCAATCATTCTGTATCAACTTTTTTTTATCAGAGATGCTCCAACATGCGCTAATCATAGCTCCTACTCACTCCAACGAGCGCGTTTGAGTGAGTTGGAGCTTATTGGAGCATATAAGCGCATGCGACACTAACAAGCCTTCAATCTTTGTTTAATTGTCAATGTTTATATATACTTTAGTATTTAATTGCGTCTGTCACATGAGAGCGAAAGATAGAATTGACACATTCACGAACGACTTGCATCAGTCTTTGCGTTTATTATGTAAGTCTAATATTTTATTATTGATTATTTATTATACACGTCTGTTTAATTCGGTTTAGATAATTTGTCATGGTTAAAACTTGGTAATTATAATGAAAATACTTGGACATTACAATTTTCTCACGTCTACATTTCACGAGACACCGCTATACACGTTGTAGAATTTTCCTTAATTTCGTTTTGTTTTAATTGTATGACCAAATTATCTAATTGTAATCTCAATTTTTAATGAATGTTTGCGATATTAAGAAGAATCCGCAATTTAAGATCGAAATGTTTATATTAATATATTATTTGATTGAATAAATTATTTATTACACGCGTATACGTCTTGTGATCAGCTTTCATATGCATTATTATCTTTGATTTATTTTTTTGTTTAATGTTGGCAAAAAATTAAGATGTAATGATGTAACAATAAAGATGTAATAATGTAATTTTCTTGCTGGAAAACGCCCATTGTGTTTTATTAGATGGATACGCATCGCATTCATTTTCGACGCGACGATTTTATCGACCGTTTCGCAAAACAAACACCTAGTTGACCTAGTTTCCATATCGCTAAAATGGAGGTTGGTGCGCTGGTGTACGATGCGGGGTTTCGAGCGGCCAATTTCGATCGATTTTACGAAAAAGGCTGTAATCATTGTAATCATGATGGAATCAGAAAGGTGAAGCATTCCGAAGAATGCGCAGTAGACAATAAAAAGTGATAAATTGATTTGATTGGTCGAAAATGGTCGAAAATACAATAAAATCAAATAAAATGTAATACCGATAGAGTTTGATTGGATCGAAAGTCCATCCCAATCCATCATGCGCAATGCTTCACCTTTCTGATTTCACCACGGCCACAGTATAATACAGTAGCGCAACTCTCTGTCGGCACCTTTGATGTTAGTGTT